AGCGGCTGCCGAGCGCCGCCCGCTGCGGGAACCGGCACCGGGAGCCGGCACCAGGGCCTGGGCGGAGGCGACGCTGCCGCGGCCGCGCGGCGGACCCAGCCCCGCCGCCTCAGGGGCGGCCGCGGGCGGAGCGCGGGCTTCCCGCCCGCAAACGTCACCCGGCGCGGAGGAACATGAGGGGGAAAACGCAATTAGTTGTTTTTTCCCCCATTTTTTCCCTCCCCCTGGTGCGTCGCGGCTTTCCCTCCTGCGAGGGGGCAGCACTGCCCGCCCCGGGTCCCGCCCAGCGTGGGGCCTCCGCCATGGAGCTGCAGGTGGTTTCAGTTCTTGCAGCCCCCAAAGGGGCTTCCAGGTGGATCCTGGTGCTTGTGGCCCCCAAAAACAGGCTCTAATGTCGATTTTTGTCCTCGTCTTCCCCCCTCTGGCGGGAGATCAATCCTCTGGTTGGATCTTGGTTCGCACACCCTTTCAAAATGGGCCTTCCAGGTGGATCTTGGTCCTTGTCAACCCCACAAAAGGGGCTTCTAGGTGGATTATGGTCATCGTGGATCTCCGTAAGAGGCTTCTAGGTGGATCTTGGTCTTTGTAACTCCCCCAAAAGGGCTTCCAGGTGCCCTCCATCCTCATAGCCTCCCAAAAAGGGACTTACGGGTGATCTTGGTCCTTGTAGAGCTCCATTAAGAGGTTTCCAGGTGATCTCTATCCTCATGGCCCTTCAAAAAGGTGCTTCTGGGTGGATGTCACCCCCTTTTCAATGTGTTCCAACTTCTTACATACTGACTTAAGTCGATGCCCAGCCAAGGATTTCACTGTGGCTCCTAGCCCCAGCAGTGAAACTAAAGGAACAATGCAGCATCTTCGCTCCCATTGCCACATGGATGGAGAGCTGGTGTCCCAAAATGGGGACAGGCCACCACRGCCACCTCCTCTGAGCCTGGAAGAACGCAGGAGCCGCCAGCTCCCTGGGACTTCTCCTGAGAGCTGAAATCCCAAGGAGAAGATCTCCAAAGGGGTTGTTTCCACAAGTCTCTGTCTTAAGCTACTTGGTTCTGGGGTTTTCAGGCCACCTCCTGGTCCCTGTTTGGCCCCGTTGTGTTGCAGACCGTGCCAGCCGCCCACACTACATTGCCATGAGGACAGAGTGTGGTGCAGCTGCAGCAGCTTCGTCCCCTTTGGGCTTCTGCCTGCTTCCAGGACACCACAAACACCTATATTTCTGCTTGAAAACCTGCCTTTCAGCCTCAGACAACGCTCACTCACTCAGTGAGATCCTAAGTGCAGACAAACCAGGTCTGACCCCTCTTAACACCAAAGATGTCCACCAAACAACCAAAACCGGTTACTCTATAGCAAAACCATGTGACAGATAAATACTTTTTTACCGTAACTCTTTACCATAGCTTGAAGT